ACTACCGGCGTATTAGTCACAATGATTGAAATAATTTTAAAACCAAAGAGTCCGGTTCTGCCCAAAAGGCACCTGCTGTGCGCAGCCGCATTATGAGTGAGACAGTAATGCCATACTCTCTGCGCACTGGGTTTATTCCAATCGTCTTCAGCCGAGCAGGTCAGTCTATTGAGTTGACAGTTGGCAGGGTCCCCGAACTAAACCCTATATTTTCCCACTGTCTTCTGGGTCAGACTTTTGATTCAAAGGCTCATAGAGGGTATCTCAACCAAACACTATCTTTGGCTTGAGCAAACGAGAAATATCATTTGCCATTTCAGCCCCTAGTTTGCTTTGCTCCCAGTTTTCAGAGCCATTTTTCCAGGCCATCTGACACGACTTAATAAACCTTGCATATTTTCGAGGTCGGTACTTCTTATTGCAGCCAGTAAAGCCATTCCATCAACTAGCGACAAGACAATGATGGCGCATGCAGATCCCTCAAACACCGAATAACCTGGAGCTTGAATAATGACAGAGAACGCTGATGGATTTTGAAGGCCCAGGAGATTCAAAAAGATTTGCTGCAGGCAGCAGCCGTGCCTCCGGTCAAACGGCCAAAATAAAGCAGATGTCAGTAAAAGAATATGCGAAGAAGGAGGAAAGATGACCCACTATCTCAATCGACTTCTTTGGCGGTGTGCTGAGCACTTCAAACAACAGTTCAGCTGGCCTCCTTCAGCACAAATGTCAGAGTCTAGCGGCCTGAATGGAACCCCAACGCCAATTCGTCAATAATAATTTAATTCCAGCAAGCGCGAGAAGGTACCTGGTGCTGATTGTTCGGACTCCGCAATGTTCCAAGATTGTGGTTGGGTCCTGGTAAACAGTCTAACATCCATACTTCAGAAGATTTGGATCGTAATCAGAATACCAGCTTCTCGATCGTCATCCCCGTTTTCAGAATAAGCGCAAGAAAGTCATGTGAAAATCATCGTGTTATCAGCCTGTGATCCGTTGCGTCTAAAATGCTTTCTGGCATTAGTTTGCGTGGATGGGTGGGTTATCTGGAGGTATAGATTCGTGAGAATCAAGCTGGGTTTCATCCCGAACAAGAGTGCATAGACCATACCTTTATGTTGAGAGAAACCTTGAACAGTGCTACTCTTTCAGACGTACCACGTTGGCCAAATCGTTTGATCAAAAAGCTGCTTCTGATTTTTTTATTTTATAAAAAACTTTGGCAGTGTCTGGCAATCAAAGTTCTCCCTTCCAAATTTGCATCCCTAATGAGGGCACTATATGCAAACCCATGTGGGCACGTACGATTACACGGCACACGTTCTCCTGAGTTCACCACTTCCACTGGTGTAAACGAAGGCTACCCCATTCCATTTTCCTCTTTAAGCTTGCCATCGATCTGCTGCTGGAGATTTCGCTGCTTTCCCCTGAAACTTCAAGAGTCGTAATGCACCCTCACAGACATTGAGTAAGTGGACAATATTGCTTTCCTTGGTTCAGATCCTTCAAAAATACTGACAAGTTTAAATAATCTAAATAACTCTGCAGCACTGTTGGCATGCGCTTCACCACTTCCACTGGTGTAAACGAAGGCTACCCCATTCCATTTTCCTCTTTAAGCTTGCCATCGATCTGCTGCTGGAGATTTCGCTGCTTTCCCCTGAAACTTCAAGAGTCGTAATGCACCCTCACAGACATTGAGTAAGTGGACAATATTGCTTTCCTTGGTTCAGATCCTTCAAAAATACTGACAAGTTTAAATAATCTAAATAACTCTGCAGCACTGTTTGGCATGCGCTTCTAACTTGCAAAATATAAAGTGCAGAATTCACACCGCGGGAGTATGATACATATTTCATTATGGATCAAAGCCGTGGTCTCTGCGTGCAAAGGACATACTAAATTTTTCAGTGTTTGACCGGATCATTGGTCACGTTTGATAGAAACATTGGGTTAGCGAAGCTAAGTTACGCCAGATGGTCCCATGATGAAGAGACTCTCCCGCGATAAATGAATTACTCATGCTTCATAGGCTACAACGATCAGGACGTGTACATTGCATGCAAGAAGACCCTCTATCTTGCAAAGCACTTTTCGTTCAGCACTGTGTTGAGTGTATGCGATTGAGAGGTGGACAGTCTGTAACCTAGCAACGAAGTATGATAACATTAACCGGTAAATTGTGTTGGGTTGACAGCTGCCGCCTATCTGGATGGGGACCCCGGGACTAAACTCACTAATAGTTGATTACACTGGCATAAATGTCCCAGTCGTGCATTCAGTGGCACTTCATCATCAAAGGTATCGTCTTCAATACGTGGTACCCAATTTCCAAACTAACTGAACATACCATCGCCTCCAAAGCTTGACGGTATCTCCTACACCGTCGGACGTTTCAGTGATCGGAAATGTAGTAATTGGCACCAACATGCCTATGGCACATGGTTTATAGCTGATTAATTGATTATTGACTGATTGTGACTCGTCAACGTCAGCACTCTGGAACATGATGGACATCCGATTGTTCTTATGCGCCTTCAAGTGACGTTTGCGGTCTCTGAAACAAGGTCCCAAAGCCCAAATAGGTTGTTGATCTGATCTCATAGACAGTGCCGTAAAATGCTTGATCAACAGGCCGTTGATACTGTTTGTGCTGAGTTTGGCATCGTTATCAACTATTGAGCGGAAAGCTTTTGCATGAAAGGTATTACGTTGATAGTCGCTTTTATACAGTTTATTTGGTGATTTACGTAAGTTAATTCCTTAAAAACACCGATAGTCGCTGTCTGTTTAATTGAGTTGCTCGTTTTTCAACAGGTTGTGGCCCTGATACACTCACTTGCTGGTTTTAGAAGGTTTTGAGCGCTTCATTGCAGTGGCAGCGTGGGAGCTCAGATAGTATTGTATTCACCGGGGGCATGTGATTACGAGGTATACAGCGCCCGTCTTGACCGGGATGGAGACGCATTGATGACGACGAATGCGCGCTGCAGTTTTGGGCTGATCACATACTTTTTTGTGCAATGCCAACTTCCGAAACAAACTTCCGAAACAAATATAAACTCACACCACAAAACAAGAAAACGGCCGAATCACAAGAGAACAACCACACACGGAACTGCCGAATCGAATGCGCTCAATGAACCAACCAGACACAGGAGATTGAGACCACGTCAGATTCACAGGAGACCAATTAAACTACGCATAGACCGTTTCCAGGACTACCAGATACTGTTTGGATGCTATATAACCACAGGCAAAAGAGGGGGAATTCACCCACTCAACCCTGCACTGACGATGTCACCTCGATGGGTGATGAAACGTTTGCCAATCTCGGCGAACAGACCAACAACAAAACATAAGGCTCCCCGCATGGGAATCAATCTCCAATGCAGATAGATTCCATTGTCATAAGCTATGAGTGACATGGTCTCAATTGCTGGTTCCCGCTCATTCTGGAACATCTACGTAGATTCAAATCACACTTTTTTCTTTGGGAAGCCACGCTCGTCAGCAGCATACGTGATGAACCTACCACGCCCGGCAATCAAGTTTTGGATACTGGTGTGAAACCCACACAAACCACCTGTCTATATCACCTTGAAAAATACATCTCAGTTTGATTTCAAAAATGATGTCCAAAAGACCTGGCAAGATGCGGGGCGCTGCACTTGTTGAATGGTGAAGCCACCTAGATCAAAGCACGGAACGAAGACAGCGCTCTAAAATTGCTCAAAATTTGGACACCAATTTTTGCCAGTTGAGAGTGCAGTGTTGTTCAAATATCTGTCAGACATCAAGAACAATAAAACAACTGTGGAAATAGGGAGAACTGTTGGATCCAGAAAGCTAAAGAGATACCGCAATTCTTGTATTATGCTCAAGCTGATACGAGCGACAGACCCAAAATGGCCTTCGGGGTGGGCGGGCAAAACCACGTTGATACCGGCTCGATTATCCCTAAAACAATTCCCTGAATAATTCGGTTGAACATTTCAGTAACAATTCAACTGGTCATCTGCGGTTACCTATTGGGATCCTCGAACTACAACACAGTCGTGTACAGTGAATAATTCCCCCAAGCAACACCAAGTTGTTGGTCCCGACGAAATTATGCGCTGTACTTAAATATAGAAGCGAAAACTGCAGTAACTGCTTGTCGAACTTATTCACATCTACCCGGGCGAAATAGACCATTTCAACTAACTGGGATGAGCTTATTGTGGTACTCAGCTGCAAAAAGAGTACTCGCAGTGAATGTGGCAATCACAGAAAAATCAGCTTCACCCCATCGCAACTTGTTGCATCGCCTGTTTGACTTTCGCCTACTAACAGGCTGCTTTAACCATTAAATTCAGTAGCTTAACAACGGGAGCTACGTTGACGTCTCACATTCTTAGGCTTCGTTGACTTTATGAGTCTATTATATTCTTTCCAAAACGTAACTGTGTCAGATTATGCCTCAAAACTTCGTGAATATCATGCACCGTTTCTATTCTCTTACACGCAGTCGTCTGAGTGTATATGTAGCTCTCCAAAAGCCTTTCTACAAGCAGTAGTGTCCAACAAGGATGTCCGGTCTCTCTATTTTTGTATAGTTTCGTCATTCATGAGATACTGAGATGGACACCGGATGTTCTCTAAAGTCTCAATCTTTAGGTTCCTCCAAGCGAATACCTTGCTGACGGGAAATACGCAGACATTTCTCTCATTTTTTGAAAAAGAGCATGCAGCGCAAGCATTATCAGAATTCTGAAACAGACCATCAAGTACTCAAGCAAGTGCTTCAGTCCTACAAATTGTAAGGTGATGCTGCGGAACATATGGTCCTTGAGTTATGAAAATCCAAGGGGTGACAGTAGACGTTAAGGAATGCTATTGATATCTCGGAAGTTGCATTGGCTCTGGTGGTAGAGTGATGTACATAAGAAATCCTCAGGTGGTCCGCTATCAAATTTTACGTGTGAATTCACCAACCGCGCGTTCGTCAGAAGCCCAGAGTTTGACGTTTATCTGGAAAGTGTATATAATCTGAGACACAAGAAAAAAAGTTTCTCAAAATTTCAGCGCAATAAATGATGTTTTGCGAGCAGTTTTCAATAACGTTTCATGAAGCAGGGAACAAAGGCGAACAGAGTTAACAAGGTAACACGGATATCAGAGTTGCGTGGATACCAGGCCGCGATAAGTGTTCACGTCCTAGTTTGTTTCATCTGTGTTGGTGGATTAAGAGACTGCCATTGTCAGGGCTGTAAGAATAACCGTAGCTCCAGCGACGATACCACCGAATAACCACTCGCCAACGTTAGGTACCATACCTTTCAGGTCGATCAGTGGTTTGTGGAAGGATGCGAAGGCGACGATCGCAAACACAACTGAAAGCAGTAAATGCACATAAAAAAACAACCGGGTGACTCGTTTGTACGAACGTAAAGCAAACGGGTAAACTGTGGTTAAATTTTCAAACGCAAACTGGAATAAAACTTCAGCACAACAGGCCTTTTTTGGCGATATTGAGGCGTCAAAAGTATTGACTCGCTATACACATAAATAGTTGGACATTTACTGTGCACAAACACGTCTCAACCACCACCTTCTAACTCGTAAACGAAGTGACTGTTATTGAAATAAATTGTTTCGGTATGTGCTCGTATTGTTCGTTTAACACGATTGCAAAAATCCTACTGAAGTGTCGTGTGAACAAACTTCAAAATCCCACGTCTAATCCGCACATGGTGGGAATTTATATGATTTATTCTGCTCTATAACCAAAACTAAGGTAGTTGAAACATGTAGTCGAAACACATCTCTCCTAGAGTTTGTTTGCTAGTATGTGTGGTGAGGAAATCGCTACTCATGAGTAGTGGCTAGAATATCTACAAATATGCAGCTTGGTAGTCGGACAATTAAACAAGTGATTTTTTGCTGAACCAATGTAACAGAACTTATGATAAACGGAACTGAAGCAGCTGATCATGATGTCTACTAGAGGCATCTCAAAAGCTATCGCGCTTTGTGTGACAAATATCAGTTCATAAAATCATTCACCATGAAAAAAACAAACAGAATGAACTTGCGGTGTTTCAAGAATGTATCCTGCACAAAATTTCAATGTGTCCTAATTTTCGCGTACATTCTAAAAGCTTTATGAATCCATCCGTCATCTCGAATTACGTCGGGTGACAGCGGCAGATCATACGGTCTATCATTTGTCACCAAACCTCTCAGAGGTGGTGAAGTATAGACCATCAAACTCATTCTTTAGCACCGCCGCGAAGTGCTATTTGAAACCAGCCTGGGTGATGACGGAATAGTTTTCATCCACATGGCTTAATAACCATACGCCAGCATATCAGATGCACTTAGCAGTATATAAAACCAAATATACAATTTGTATATGTACTCAACGCATGTAACTAATATAATCTACATTACGCCTTGATGTATATTCTATAGTCCGTTGAGAAACCAACAAATATGCACGGTTTAAGAAAGTAATGAAACACTGCAGGTTTTCTCTGAAAAATTGCCTCAAGTTCCCAAAGGTTCCCAAACCTTCTCATTCCAAAAGTTTAACTTCCCTTTCTTAGGTGAATCCTGGTTTATACTGTTGAAATTGAATCACGACTTAAGAAGGCATAAGACATATAACGAACCCGCCATCCGGGATGATACACAGAATGGGGTTGAAAACAGTTATCTGATTTGATTTCAATAACATCTCTAAAATAGACCAGTACTGACTGCGAAACTGATTCGAACGTCTCATGCTCTAAGAAGTTAAGTGGTACGGACCTAGTTAATATGGAATGATAGGTTAGTCAATACTATACTCAAATTTACTGACCCCTATGCTACAGCATTAGAGGTCCATTGACCGTAGCAGCACATATTCAATGACTGTGACTCACACGTTTGTTTTATCATTGTTATATTTAACAGCCATTATCAAACACCAATAATCCTATGTAGCCACGTAGCTAGCCTCAAGAGACAGTCGATCCAATTCTTCATGCTTTTACATGACGAAAGTTTGCAGTCATCAATGACCACAGGAAGATTTTACTTGCCTTGACTACGATTCATAGACGGAAAAAACAGAAATGGCAATATGAATAATCAGTATGGCACGTGAGGGTAGCTAAACTTACGTGCAAAACCACCGGCCACAGATACAAGGATCCCCATCACAGTTTCACTGCATTTGCAGCAGAGCGTAATAAACAGAAAAATTGCGACCCCGCAGAAGATGAAAAATGCTATAAAGATACATCCGATTGCAGCCTTCTCCGCACTCGTTTTATTCGAGGCTGTGGGGAGAACAATAGTGTATTTGTATTCATTATACTATGCCCATAGAATGACGCAATATTCCAGGACTGACAACAGAAATAGAATAGCATACTTACATTGTATTGTTCCGGTGTAATTGGAAATAGCACCAAGTGTGCAAATAATCCCAATCCCGCAAGCTGCTATCGTCAAAATTTTCGCAAAAAGCCCCATCCTGTGCACGTTTCAGCGGCACCGCTATGTCCACAATACGCGTTACAACACTAACAAAATCCTTTTGTACGGAGAAAGTAGCCAACCACCGACTGGTTGATCAGTTTACCGGGAAAATTGGATTTATATTTGGCTGTGTCTACGCGTGTTCGTAGTTCGTCCTCCTACCCAATTTATCGTATGCGCTCTCTCCTGTTACAGAACACGCACTGGCAAATGGTGCACTCAGATCCTGTGGACATGCGCACATGAATGACTGTGGGGTTGGTTGGTACGACCTGTCTAATCACTGGCCAACCATGTGTCGAGAATTTTCATCGATTATCGGGCTAAACTGTGGCCTTGGTTCAAGCCGGATGGATTATACAAACTTAGCGCACCACGCAGCATCACATGAAGTGTTAAAAAATACCCTCAGGTTCTAGCTGACTTTCAGTCCGTGGTAATAAGTGAATTCGAACCGAAAAAAACATCTTCAACAGTCACTGGCCAACCATGTGTCGAGAATTTTCATCGATTATCGGGCTAAACTGTGGCCTTGGTTCAAGCCGGATGGATTATACAAACTTAGCGCACCACGCAGCATCACATGAAGTGTTAAAAAATACCCTCAGGTTCTAGCTGACTTTCAGTCCGTGGTAATAAGTGAATTCGAACCGAAAAAAACAAATTATCTTCAACAGCGAAGCAAATTTCGCTTTTAGGGGCTGAAATAAAAGACTGCCCTGATTATAGTAGTGGTACTACGGAATATCTTTCTATATGCGTTTACCAAGCACGTGGTCTAGGTGACTACCGTCAGCCTACGGTGCAGCGTATCTCGGGCATCCTGGAAAACAGAGTAGGTGGACAAAAAAAAGAAAACTGACGGTTATTTTTAATTTGTTTTTGACTGTGCTTTTCGACTTGTTGAAGGAGAAACGCTCTGCTTAGAGTTAGTTTTTACCCGTGTGCGTTACATTTACCTGGTCGGATGCAGGGAACTCAGTTGGGAAAATTTGTTATAAAAATTTATTCCTTCTGATTAAGTTCGCTTTGGACTGGTTCCATTGCATTATGTTAAATAATTGGCTTAATTATCCGGTCCCTGTCACTTTTGAACAGCAAATCCAGTTCTATTTTCTTGACATGAAACACTACTCTTAAGTTTACTGAGAACCCCACAAAAGCTCACTGTTGATTTTGCTTTTAAAAATTCAACTGGCATATGCATTCTTTTAATTTCTACCACTTAAAGACACCAGACTTTTGCTCTTCTCATAAATTATTTAAAAAAACATCCGTAATTTTCCAGTATTTGATCCTGTCTAATAATTGCTTACAGGCGTCAACTCCGTCTTCCTGTCTCCTAAGTCTATTCACACTTTGTTCAAGCAGTTTCAATAAAAACCCATTGTTTCACACTGTAACTGTGAACCATCTTCCTGATTTTCGGCGAGTCTAGTATTTTACCACTGTCGTTCTTGTCGATTCTATACTCTTCACAAAGATTTCTGAGCAAGAACTCGCCGGAAGCAGAGTACAACTTGTCCATTCCTGACAAGATGCCTCTTTGATTGAACTTTCACCGCACGCAAAAATCTATAACAGCTTTCAAATGAGATATCCTTAATTTTCTGTAGGCATTTGTAAAACTACTGGGGCACAAGATTATTTAACAGTCTTTCTTTTGTCCTGGCACAAGATTGGAAACACTGAAATCAAACTCCACTCATATTTGAGCTCACCAGCGGTAGATATAGTTCGCCATGCCGGGGTTTGAACTCCGGACGTCTAACATGCAAGGCAGGCGCGTTGCTGCTACTTTACAAGTACGTGCTTCCAGCATGCACTTGTCTGTACTTGTCCGAACGTATGAAGAATAGTAGACCGCTGATAGATTTTCGATGCTGAAAGTTTTACGAATACAGTAACTGAGAATTCTTTTATAGCTTGCTCCCTATATGTTTCCAGCAAACCTAGTGGTAGAAAAACGGGAATCAGTTTTGGAATCTGAAATATGGACGGATGACATCCTGATTGGTTGAGTTTGGTTCAATGCACTAGGCTTTTCTTTGAAATTTTCAGGGAAGGCCACCCCACCAATGATTCAGCCATAAGCACTGAGGCGGGATAATGTTTCAGCGTTTTACTTGACATACGGAACATTTAATCTCTAGAATACGCAGCAAGCAAACAGATCTCTGTATGTATCTCTGTATGTATCTCTGTACGACAAACAAGCTACTTTAGTGAAAACTACCCATCGAACGGAGGTGAAAGAAACTGATAGTTTTGAAAGTGGTACAAGAAAAACTGGAATAAAGCGAACGTAACTTTGAGCTTTTGCTGATAATAATAATATCACATCCCTTTTCTATAGCTTTAAACATCTTTCAAAAGCCTCGTACAAAAGATTCGGTCCCAGCCAGTCGCAGGTGACTGCCGTCTGTAATTATCAATTCCAACTGATGTGCGCAATCGATTCAGTGCGGTCTATCCACCACTGGCCACTTAATTATGGGGAGAGTTCATCGTAATAATTCGTCAAAGTAAGAATTAAGTTTCATGGGGCCCCAAGCTACTTAACAGTCTGATCTCCCTCTCACAACAAGCTGAAATTCGGATATATTCTCGTTCGACGTTGTGAATAACTTTTGAATATACATCCCACCTTGAAAATCACTGACATATAGATCCAATGAGAACAAATACATTTTCATATATGAAAACAGCAACTGTAAACTATCCTTCTTCTTCTACCACATCATGCATCGTGGGAGAAGATCCGGTGGTCATCTTTGCTTGACAGTGAATGGTCACATGAAGGATGGAGGAGAACTATTAGAATGTTTCGGTTGTTCGGCAGTTCACTTTCTTGAAACCTTTAAAGAGGTTGGTGCATTTGACCACGTATTATTTTAGTGAGTAAGCGACTTAGGAGTAGACTCAATAAATCCAATTCACTCCGTGGTTAGTGATGGGCCGCTTCAACTAGATGCATGGCGCTAGGTCTACACATGTTCCAATTGTACTATATTTGAGATAATTTAAGGAACCTTACGATTAGCGTACTGCGTTCCGGCAGAGCATAGTCTTTCAGTCCGATAGATCATGCGTAAACTTCTGCATTTCCAGAGTACATTATCTGAGCTGAAAACGCAAAGGTGGACGTGTGAACCGAATCATACTGGGATGGGAATTAGCACTGCTGAATAAAAGCAGACATACAGGATGCGATATTACCTCCCTAGTCTGGTCTCCATCCCTCAGCTTCACTGTCATCTCCTGCATTTTCGAAAGCTGACTTGATCATTTCACCCTTCTTTCAGGTCCAAGCAAATTCATACTGACATGCTTGTGAGCATACTGCTAAGGAATATGCCATTCTATGTTTTGACTAAATTTTTATCTTTCAGCACGGGATCAGAATTTGGATCCGTGCTACCCGTTGTAGTATTACTTATACTATAATAGGACAAAAATAATATCGGTATGTAAGTGATTCGTTTGTGATGTGCCTTTAAAACCTGGTTTGAAGACCGCGAAAAACAGGCAGTTTGTTACGCTGGCAACCAAAATGCTCAATTTTTATTATTTTTGTCGGGTGTTCATTGCAACAGCTTACTGCTTGACCCTGTGAAGCCTTGCAAAAACCTAATCAACGAACTTTCGGAGGAGAGACCGAACACATACTGACTAGAGGTAGAATGACGCTTGATGTGGTAATAGATGGCACTTTAGGGGAGAATCGTAACCCATGCAAGTCCTTTATTCGATTTCGGGCTCTGCTTCTTTCATATTAGGAACCAACCGTCTACAAGATTCAGCATGTTTCATTTTGACATGAATCACGGTATTCTGATAAGTATTGTGATAGGTTTTCAAGAATACATTCTCCACAGAGACTTTTGCTGTCCCCGATGGACGCAGTCACCAAAGTATTCAATAACCCTTTTTTTACAGTGGCAAGCTTGTTACTTCGCAGAAAAGTGACGTTCCAAGCCGTCCATAGCAGTTGTAGTTAAAGTGCAAGTTTCCCTATTTCCGTCGGTATGTAAAAACCAAGAATTTGAGCCACATTGAGGTAGAAGCAGTGTTTAGGGAGATTGACGCTCGCCCATCAGAATGATTTCAATGCCACATGACACTTTCCATCTGCTGCGGTGATTTGTAGGTTGGCAGCCACTTGAATGCTGCGGTATCTCTGTGGCAATGGAATCTGATAGCAAAAACCTCTTTCCACGCATGTTTATTATTTATTTCCATATTATTTTGTCCTTACCATTTATCAATGCTCATCAAACTTTGATCGCTTCGTCTCACATTTCAGCTTTTTGATCGATCAGTTTTAATAATGTCAAATACTGTTAGCTCTAGCACGTTAATTAGATGATTATCGAGTGACATTTAGTGTGTTCATCGAGCGTGCGCGGAAGCTGGTCACCTGATCGACAGCCAGATAGAAATACTAGACATATCCGTTATGTTTCATGCGTAAAGACCGGAGCCATAATTAGTTGTGGAGACCGAGGGCTTGATATCATACGTACATTCCGTTGTGTTCGTAATCCAATTATCTGTTCGTACAGTATTGACCTATTTTTCTCATTAGTGATCACCTCACCGTCGGTCACGATCACATGCATTCTCTGTTGCGGTTGATCTACCGGGACAGCCAATATTAGAGATGTGTATTTATTGTTGTACGTCAGCGTGTTCTCATTGTAGTAACCACTATTCTGGATTCCACTTACTCCCGATTCTGCTGACACCAGCCGTCCACGCGTCAGTCACTAGTTCCTGCAATACTCGCTCTCCGATGTCAAGATATCCCCTTGGGTAAGAAAACTTTTTGAAAAGTCGGTGATTGTGCGGGAAAACATTCACTAATATAAATGATAGTGTTATTTGAGACTCAGCTGGAACTCAGCCTGATCCCTTGTTTGTAGCATCATTTAACTGTGATGACATGACGAGCAAGCTGGAAAAAATATCAAGCTGAGAAAAACTTTTCAATGAAATGATGCTATATATAAGTCTGATGAAAGCTGCTGGGCAGCCCAGTATCAATCAAAGGTTGATTTACTGTTTGTCAGTGTCTCAATCTTGAATAAATCAGAGACACTAAAAGCCTGAGGTTTAAAAGTTTGAAAAGGCACCCAACGGTTCAGAGATATATTCCAAATTTGCGAAGCCGAGATTTGCAAACTTTTTGGGTTATTTAGCCAGAGCTAGCAGTGATGTTGCTTTGGGACAGAACGCACCTGCATCATTAGTTGGAAAGCTGAGCGGTCCAATTTCAACTTACTAGAATCCTGACTGCCCTGCAGCCAGGCGGTACTTCTGTTTCGTCCACCATGTTTCGCAACATGACGAATCTGTCAAGAAATGGAATATAAAAACTTTCATCCGGTGTTCTTAAATTATCCATTGTTCTGTCTAGAAAAAAGGAATAGCAGTAAATGCCTTGTTTCCGGAGAACAGTTCTCTAGCGTATTATTTACAACAGAGAACGAAAAGTTCACTTGGACTCAGTCAAATGTTTATGCATAACAGACGATTCGTTTGTTCCTTGTAGGTCAAATTTGACGTTGCACTTGACTGCACGTTCATCACGTCCTGGCGTGAATGCCGATTCGACTGGAGAGCCATGGTCATATTTGTCTGTTTATGAGGAAACAGGTTATCGTGATTGAAAGTATCGTACATAAATACTATCTATTCGAATAGGAGTGCAGTGAAGTGTCACGAAATGAATCAACCTGATGGGGTTAGATCGAAAAGCTTAGAATCTCGTGTGACCAGTTTATGATGCCAACAATCAGTGGGTTACCTATACGATCAGAGTTTCTGCCTTCTTGAGAAGAATACGAGCACCGTAATCAAAAGGGAGTGAATTTTCCAAGAAAACACAAAAAGTTCAAAGGCAACCAACCTCGATTTCTTGATTCAGCTAGACCAGAGTTTCCATAGACGTTTCGATTCATATTCGAATGCCACGCTAACCAAGGTTACGTAGTTGAATTTTAAATACTTTATCCAGAGTGGAGAAACCGACACACAGGACCTGGAACTCTCGTAGGAGAACCTTCCACGCCTCATTTCTCCAGGATTTTCTTGATGTGGTGAACTTTACATTTATCTTGGTGTTATCAGTATTTAAAGCTTTGATTAGAAACAGCGGCCTACTGAGACAAAGCACTATCTAACGGATGTGAAACAGCTAAAAAAAAAGTTCATGATATAGTTCTGTTTTCATTCTGAAAATGGCGGATAAATCTGGGAGGAACAACACAGGTACACCCCCGTCAGGTCAGAGTTGTCCTAAATCAATTCGAGACTGACAGAATCCCATTTCTGTTAGATCTGAACGTTTCAAACCCGTCAGGTCGACATTCCTGCTCTGCAGTTAGTTCCTAAACTTCCACAGGCCTGATTTACCCATCTGACCAATATTGATCTGTGACGAACTTAGCACACCGCTCAGCAGCCTTGAATAACTGGGATCAGTCAGACCACGTTGGGCCTCACGCAGTTTTTTATTCGATCAAAATTGAAAGCAATCCCTTACAATTAAGTGAATATTTCCATTGGGTGCTTCGTTCCCCTTTAGGAACTTCCACTTGGTCGAGACAGTGGAATTATGTCGCTAATATCCAAGTCGGAAAAATTGTGAAATGTCCACTACGTTTTATGTATTTAACTCCTACCTGAACATCATGAGATCACCAGTGTGACCATCACTGGCCCGTATATTTATATGATATGCTTTAACGAATCGGGCCACATCAACCCTATTACTGCGTCATGAATGGTATTTTGTTATAGCTAGTGATTATGCTGAACTTGATCCATTGTCACACAAAGGGATAACGTATTGGCATCAACCAGGTTTAAGGTTAGCTAGTCTCTTATATTTGTTTGAAACGTATTCTGCATCTATCGCGAAATGCCCTTTCCAGCTGAACAGGGAGTATTATTGTCCACGCGATTTACCAGGGGTAGTTGTCTACGAAGTGGGCGCATGGTGCGCCCAATCTTTCAAAAACTCCGAAAATAACCGGAACCACTGTTATATTGCTAAAGTCCTATATACCTTTGTAAACACCCTGACTAAATATGCCTTCAGGTTAAGCCATGACGGACGCTGAGTCGAGTATAGTACCATGTTTGACCTGATAGGAAAAAACACATCTTGTACTAAGGACAAACATGCCAGCAAATAGCCACTGTTTCTATAAGTCCAAATATGTTTGATGCAAATATACAGTGATCGGGCCAAACCCATGGAGCATTTTAAGACAAGCTGAGACATCTTGGCTGTTGTTAAACCAAATACCTAACTAGGCCGTGGGATTCTGACAGTCACAGTGAGCGTGCAAACCACCGAAGTGAAATAACTGGCCATAAGTTCCACTTGCACAAAAGAGTCTTTGAGGTGCGTGAAGGATATCCATAGAGTCTGTGTGACGACCTACCGAATATTATGGAATGAACAAAGTACTTTTTCGTAAAAGGCTCTGGATTATATCTTTGGGCCGCAAAGACTTCATTTGGGCAAGTATTCGGTATAGATTGATTCCAGCAATCTGTTGAACCACGTCGAGTTACGCACAAAACCCAAAAGCCAAATTTTTCAAATGGCGGTTTATCTACAAATGCGGTACTATAAGTACAATAATAAAATGATAAAGTTTTATAAACCTCAAATCGTTGGACTAGGCCGGCTTCTATATACCGGTTTAAGAATTGCTGATTCCTAACGGGTCTCATGGTCCACGCCGACTTAAAGCCAAGTGTTTACAGGCTAGGGAATACACGTGTGAACTTAAACAACACGTCCGATGACAAGGTCAAAGAACGGTTTATGTTCAGGTCAAAAACAAGAAGGTTGGTATTGGCACAAACCAAAATAACAAAAGAGGGGTAATCGCGTTGTACAATAAAAAATAGGAGAAATGAATCAACTTTCGGTACCTGGTTTCATGCGTTAGTCTGGGGCCAACTACTTAGGATTTAGTAACTGTGGTTTCAGTATTCATTTCGTGCCAAATGTCAAAGAGACACGCTAGGACGGGGCTTTTCGTTACTAGCTTAATTTTGTTACCAGATGACAAGGAATAGTCTGGAACGCGTGCTTCGATAGATTTCTCATCGCTTTGTCACAATGGCGTGCTGCACAATGAGAAGCAAAATGGCGTTTACACATGGAAGTATCCAAACGCAGAAACTACTCTTTCTGTACTCACCTTAACATTGGGAGAACAGTGAAGTTAAGCGCGAGGGCAAATCTGTAAGCTTCTTGCTCAAGAACTTAGAAATAACACTTCAAATCAGCAACCGAAGGTAAACTGCTTTGCGTGGCACGTTTGCAGCGACAGGTTCCTGCCTACTCAGTCTCACGGTTCCAATCAGAAGTCGTTCTGTAAAGCTACTGCCTCCTAAAATGCCAGCCTAACTTCTCCATAACTACATCTAATATACAAATTCTACATTTGGGGCAACAAAAACGATCAAGATATGTAGTCTTCTTGAATTATCTCGTTCGTAAACCTCCACCATTTCCTTGGTTGGTGACTATGTTCCAAAGCGAACATTTTGCCCCACCCCATAATTGGACATTAAAAACTCACCCATTTCTACCACTGAATCCCTACTTTCATTATGTATACCACAAGGCTGTTTTTGGAATGTTTCAAGCAAAGTCCGAAGCGATAAATCCCTTCTCGAAACGTTGCGTTCTCCATTTAAGCCCCGAATTTAGTGCCTGGGAATGGGCCTTAATTTAGCCTGATTGTTGCAACTTTTGCTTGCCCGCACGAAAACTGCGCATTGATTTCGCAGTGCAAAATTTATCGCTGTAAGTAGACTACTCCTAAGTTGTTGAAATCGCATTGACTGCCCCTGAATTCCGTCCCCCTAGAACGGTCTTTGTGGAGTACAGTTAGTTGAAGAATATTATAAGCGAATTATTATAAACGGATTAAGGTGATTCTCTCGTGAAAACAACACTAGTATGCAAATGAGTACTTTCGTCGTATTTCTGTTAAACTTTAATTGAATAAAATACCGCTCTGTGTGAATCAGTCTGTGTTTGACAGATTGCAGTGGAGGCACACTGAAGCAACACTTACAGAGATATTGTTTATCCGATCCGTGTTGCGAATCATGTATAGTGATCACGTAAGGCAACATATCCATTTAACTATATTATGAAACGGTGGATCATACATGTCTCGAATGGAGTTCAAGGAAACTGCAGACTTGTTCAGTTTGAGAAAACCGTAGATATGAGGAATATGTGTTCTACTGGATTTGATCTCATCCATTTTTCCAACCCACATACATTTTCCACTTATAACGTTTTTATGCCAGTTGTTTCCCTGTGATATTTGTTTGATATGATTTGTTCTGTGTCATTTGGAATTTTGTTCCGTCACTTATAAAAGATTTTATGTTCTGATGCACCTGAGTTAGATCAAATGATATTTCACCCTTTATTACCTTGCCATATGTGTAGGTGTATCTGGACTCCATCCGTAGCTGAAACGCAACATGTGGTAGTAGGCTGGTTGATCAATATCGGCAAATTTCTATTTAAGGAATGCGCAAACTCAAGATATTGTGACTCAGAAACTTGGTGGTTAGAAAGTCTCTCTCGTGAATTTTGACATAATTGAATAAGCAAACAATTGAAATTTCACACATCTGGCGGGCGTATACATGTGGTCAGCTTGGTCGATGTTGTATATATGTTTCCATGAAAGATATTTCGCCTGAGCACTGGCAGAAGCGATGATGTTTCCCAAATTTAAATTACTACCATAGACGCAGCTGATAGAATTCACAAAGTGTCAGCTTTTACTCAAAACACCGAAGTCCCCTTAAATTTAACTTAAAATGGAGCATATTCCTTCACCTCACTTGGCTCACATGCAGCAGTAAGACCTAATGCTACATGATATTGATTGGGACAAAGTGACACCCAGTTAAATTTGGAGGGTGCCTAACAGACCGATAAAAAACAACCTGTGTTCTTATGAACATGGCCCATCCTTCGTATTCCACTGCAGTACCAGCTTTCTGATGGTCTCGGTCACGGAACGCAAAGCATCTTCTTAGTCTTTGGTTGTGCGAAATTGCTACTGGTTGCTGGCCGTATCAAAATACAAGTTTGGAGCAACAGGAACTGACCAAGCAAATGGGACCTAATGACTGTTCATTACAAACCTCCGGAATGGCTTTGCTTACACAACCTGACTGCAACAACTTCAAAGTTATCAGTTGCGTATTCCAGCTGATGAAACACCAGAAGGGTTCAATCGACGTCTTTCTAAAAGGCGACCAACAGCCATTTTACATATAATTTCCTTAATAT